CTTTTTTTTTTAAGATTTTTAATATTTATTTATTTGACAGTGAGAGACACAGCAAGAGAGGGAACATGAGCAGGGGGAGTGGGAGAGGGAGAAGCAGGCTTCCCGCAGAGCAGGGAGCCCAGTGCGGGGCTCGATCCCAGGACCCTGGGATCATGACCTGAGCCAAAGTCAGATGCTTAACGACTGAGCCACCCAGGCGCCCCTTGATTGGGTTTGTTATACTGAATCTGTAGATCAATTTGGGAAGGACTGACATCTTGATAATATTGAGTCTTCCATGAATGTGGAATATCTCTCCATTTATTTAAAACTTTGATTTTCCCGTATAGATCTTGTAACGTATCTGTTAGATTTATACCTAAGTATTTCATTGGTGGGGGTCTAATGTAAATGGCATCATGTTTTCATTTTTAAATTTCACTTGTTCCTTGTTGGTATATTGGAAAGCAGTTGATTTTTGTATATTAATCATGTATCCTGCAGTCTTGCTTTAATTCCTTATTAGTTCAAGGTTACCTTTCTGTTTTTTCAAAGATATTTTAACTGAGTATAGAATGATAAGTTGATAGTGTTTTTCTTTTTTCTTTTTTTTTTTAAAGATTTTATTTATTTATTTGAGAGAGAGAGAATGAGAGAGAGAGAAAGCACATGGCGGGGGAGGGTCAGAGGGAGAAGCAGACTCCCTGCTGAGCAGGGAGCCCGATGCGGGACTCGATCCAGGGATTCCAGGATCATGACCTGAGCCGAAGGCAGTCGCCCAACCATCTGAGCCACCCAGGTGCCCGATAGTGTTTTTCTTTCAGTAATATAAATATATTGCTTTGCTGTGGTCTCACTTTACTGTTTCTGGCAAGAAATCTTATTTTTGTCCCTATGTACGTTCTGTGGGGTTTTTTTCTCTGTTTGCTTTGTGTGTGTGTGTGTAACTGGTTTGAGTTATGTGATTGTGATAGACCTTGGTGTAGTTTTTGTGTGTGTGTGTGTTTCTTACACAGGGGCTTTGTTCAGCTGCTTTTATTTGTGGGTTTATAGTTTCCATCACATTTGGAAAATTTGGGGCTATTATTTCTTCAAGTATTTGACCCTCCCTCCCCCACCTGACTTTTAGGGACTCTGTTTACTCATATATTTTTTTTTTTGAAGTTCCACAGCTTACTGATGCTCTTTTTTTTTTTTTTTGGTTTTTTTTTTTTTTTTTGCTATGTCTTGGAGTTCACTAATCTTTTATTTGCTGAGTATATTCTGCTCATAACCCCATCAAGTGTATTTTTTTTTATCTCAAGCATTGTATTTCTTACTTTTCTAGATATTTAATTTGGGTCTTTCTATATTTTCTATGTCTCTACTCTGAACATATGGAATACAGTTAAATAAATGTTTTAATGTCCTGGTCAGCTAATTCTAACATCTGTGTTAGTTCTGGGTTGGTTTTGATTATTCACCTCATAATGATTATTTTCCTCATTATGGGTTGTGTTTTCCTGCTTCCTTGTATGCTTGGTAATTTTTTATTAAGTACCAGACATTGTAAATATTATCTTGTTAGGTCTTGGATGTTTTTCAATTCTATAAATATTCTTGAGCTTTTTTTCTGGGATGTAGATATTTGGAAATAGTTTGATCCTTTAGTTCTCACTTCTGTGATCTTTTAGGTGGGTTCAAGAGCAGTGCTCAATCGGAGGCTAATCATTTCTCATTACTGAGGAATGACCATCTTGGGTGTTCCATCTCATGCTTTATGAAGGAAAAATTTTCCAAGTCAGGCTGGTGAGAACAGATTTCTGGCCTGTATGAGTGCTGGTACTTTTCTCTAATCCTCTTGGATTACTTTTAACTCTCATCCTGGGTAGTTTCCTCACTTGTGTGTGCTTTTCATTACTCTGCTGACTACTTGAGGGGGACTGTCTGCCAGTCTCCAGGGCCCTCTCTCTGTGCTGCTCTCTGCTCTTCAGTACTTTCTCTTGTGAATGCTAGATGCTTTGGTTTCCCATAGCTTTGAACTCAGTACCCTTACCTCACACACAGTGTTTGCCAGAGTTGTGCCTGGATTCTCTTTCCCTGCATCACAGTCTGGGGTATAAGCAAGGGGCATTCATAGTATTCACTTCCTTTGTTTGCTTTCTCAGGGGAATCACAGTCCTTTGTTACCTCATGTCCAGTGTTTAAAGACTTTTGTTTCTTATGTTTTTTCAGGGTTTTTTTTTTCATGTGAGAGGGTAAATCTAGTTCCTCTTACTTGAACTTGGGTGAACATCCCTGCTATACTTTTAATTTTTTCCATAACAGTTCTAAATGTTCTGTATTTATTTATGTTTCTTGTTAATTTGAGTTCCCTTCACAGTCTGTTTAGTAACAAGCTCTGCCATTTAGGATTTGCTGTTAGTGATGTGTCTGATGCTTAGAACATAGTAAATATTTGTTGTTTTAATATTGAATGGGAGTACAGAAGTAAGATAAAATTCTTTTTTTTTTTAAAGATTTTATTTATTTATTTATTTGACAGAGAGAGAGAGAGGGAACACAAGCAGGGGGAGTGGGAGTGGGAGAGGGAGAAGCAGGCCTCCTGTTGAGCAGGGAGCCCGAAGCGGGGCTCAATCCCAGGACTCTGGGATCATGACCTGAGCCAAAGGCAGACGTTTAACGACTGAGCCACCCAGGTGCCCCTAAGATAAAATTCTTACTCTGTTTTATGGCATACAGATGGAGAGGAGAGGTTATTTTATTAAAAAAGGATGTTTGACGGGGCGCCTTAGTGGCTGAGTCGTTAAGCATCTGCCTTCAGCTCAGGTCATGATCCCAGGGTCCTGGGATGGAGCCCTGTATCGGGCTCCCTGCTCAGCGGGAAGCCTCCTTCTCTCTCCCACTCCCCCTGCTTGTGTTCCCTCTCTCTCTGTCTTTCTTTCTGTCAAATAAATAAATAAAATCTTAAAAAAAATTAAAAATAAAAAAGGATGTTTGATTAACTATATGAGTAAATCTGTAAACCTTTCTTCAGATTTTTCTAGCATCTAATGGCATTAACAAAGACACAGCAAGGGGTGCCTGGTGGCTCAGTTGGTTAAAAGTCTGCCTTTGGCTCAGGTCATGATGGAGGCCCGGGATTGAGCCCTGCATCGGGCTCCCTGCTCAGCGGGGAGTCTGCTTCTCCCTCTGCCCCTCACGCCGCTCTTGTGCTCTCTCACTCTCTAATAAATAAATAAAAACTTTAAAACAAAAACAAAGACACAGCAAAGACACAGACTTTTAGAAGAAAAAGTGGCTGATTGTATATGGTCATAGATACTATTTATTAAGCACCTAACCATATGTCAAAAATTGTTTCTTATTAGTGTACTGTAGCAGGCAGATTTTTCTGGAAGGCATAAATGACAAGTTTCAAGTTCAGGTTTTTAACCATTACACTTCACTTACCTAGTAGGAAGTTAGTCAGATTTTAACAAAGTAGTAGATTTAAAGTGGTGTGCTAGGTCGAGGTCCTTGAGCATAGAGACTGTCTTTTTTTTTTTTTTTTTTCATTCTTTTTATATCCTCATTTTCATTGCTTTACATAATTCCTGGCTTGTGGTCGCCACTTAATAATTGAGGTGTAATGAAGTAGCCTAAAAGACATAAGAGGCAAATTATATTTAACATTGGATGTACTTATAGAAGTAGTTTAGATTTAATTTGCTTTGGTGTAGGTTATGTGGAGATTTTGTCATGAGAATATGTGAAAATGCCCTGTTTAGTGCTTAGGATATCTAAGTGCCCTATGAATGTTTCTTCTTTTTCTGCTAATTTCAGAAAAATTGAGTAACAGTCGTCTTTTTTTGAGAGTAAATAATATGAATATAGTTTGGGAGTTAGGGAAGAACTATAAAATAACAATCCGATAATCATTTTAAATTGTTCATTCATATATTTAAGCTACTTCTTTGTGAGTAGTTAATAACTTCTTAAAATTAAATAAACACCTTCAATATTTAGTGAAAATAATTTATTATTAATAATTGATGTCTTTTTAAATGTCTTCCTAGCAGAAATATTAGAAAAGATAAATAATTTGCAATGCTTATGTGCAAAAGCTAACAAATTATGTTTAACCTATTAGGTTCTTTCAGTTTGGATCACAACTTTTATACCATACTTACAGATAAAAACATAGTTGACACATTCTGCATCTCTGCATGGCTTACTTGAAAAATAGAAGCAGTTGCTTAACTGCATGACTATCAAAATGGTCAATGCAGATTGATGGGCTTGAGTGCAGTAGACAGTGAATGTGCAGATGGTGGTGCCTGTACCATTTGACATGAGATGGCTGAGTCTTTAAAATGATTTCAGTGGAATGGCTTTGGTGGTGTTGTAGTAAAGGGCATCCATTCAACTTCAGGTGCTGTGCAGATGGCAAAGCCAAGCTAATATAGAAAAATGAGAAACAAGTGACTATTTAATGTACAGGAATGCATGATCTGCATCACAAATAAATGATGGTATTACATTCAGGAAACCTAGCCAGATGGCTGTACATTAAAACACATGACTCCTTGAGAGAATTAAGTACAGGCAATTTGCTTAGATTTTCTGCAGGCCTGCTGCATATTATATTAGGGTAGGGAGAACAAGAGATTAACTGCTTTATTTATTGAAAGTGTTTAGGTGAAGTTGGCAGTTATTTAAGCACAATATGATCTCCATAAGTATTTAAATTGTCTCTTTGTGATAAAAAAAAGGTAGGGATGGTAGGTGATTTTATTTTAAAAGGATGTAAGGAGTAAGATTGGCTAGCGAACCTGTCTTTTGGTCCATGTTTTTCAGTTTTGTAAAGTTTTCCACTGGGCAAAAGCTTAAAAATTTTTTTGAATGAGCATGATAAAAGTATTTCTTTTTCTATATAGGTTTTAATGAGTCCAAATACCAGTGACATATGGAAATTTTAAAGTGTGAAGAGTTAATGTGTTGAATCCTATGTGAAATGGTCTCATTTTCACTAGTAAAATACTACATTTTTTGTTTTTCAGCTTAAAGAAAGTGGTTATTGTACAGGTCATGAACCAGATTCCCTGGAATTCAGCACTGTGGGAGGATGGGTATCTACTCGGGCATCGGGCATGAAGAAGAATATCTATGGCAATATTGAGGACCTGGTAAATTTTTTTCTGGTTACTATGTCATAATTGATTAGTCTATTACTGTGAAGTGATTAAAGCCTTTTTTGGAGTTGGATGGTAGGGTCTCCCCAGAAGTATACCCCTTTTGATTATAGTAAAGTTGACTATGTATAGTAGAAGCAGTTTAAATACAACTGTGGTCATTATTTACAGTTGCTCCTTTTCAAGTGACTGATATTTAAGGTTTATAGACGCTTCATAGTATCTTACTTATATATAAACATTATGTTATAAGCTTCATGGAGCCTCAGTCTTCAACTCTCCCAAGATTTTAGTCCATTTATTTAAATGATCTCATCATTGCCACTTTTTTGCCTTAGGAGAGTTTATACTTATTTTCCTTAAAACATTTTTTTCTATATAGAATTAAAGAGCCTGATTGAAAATGTTATAGTAGGTGGCAGTACGACCTGTAATGGTTTATGTGCACACCATTTTATTTTAGCTGATCTGGTGCCAGTGTTCTGGGAGCTAGTGTGGTAATAGTGTAACTGTGGGCATTCTGGCTAGGGATTAGATATCATTTGTTCCATGTGTAGCTTTCCAGTGATTAGTTGTGTGACCTTGTGCAAATTGGTTCACCTTTCTAAACTTGTTTCCTCTTCTGTAAAGTAAAATAATGATACTTTTTTTTTGGAATTATTATAAGTATATATTATAAACACTTAAAATGTTTACATTATCCTGTTTTTTTTAAAATTGAGGATATTTTAGAAATCACATTTTTCTTTTTACAAATAAATTCAATTTCAGAGGAGAGAATTTAATCCTTTTACTATTGGATTATTAAAAACTTTATCATAGTTAAGCAAACGTGATAGACTGCTACATTTAGTACTGCTAAAGCATGTAATTTATTTTATTCCTTTTTTGGAGAGCCTTAAGACCACAGATTATAAGCATATATCCTAACGTGCTTATTTGCATGTGTATATCTAGCTTTTAATATAAAAAAGGATCATGCTGTGTTTAATCTCCTTAAACTATACTGTCAATATATTAACTTGTAAATGAACAAAGACAAATGTAAATGTACACTATCATTTTTAGAGTGCATATAATTCTCTTTTATTGATAATTCATGGTTTATTAAAGTAATTCCCTATTAGTGAATATTTAAATTATCCTTGATTTCAAAATTGTAGGAAACAAAGGGGAAAATATCTTCTTTAGTAATTTCTTCAGCATACATCTTTAATCACTTTCTTTGGGCAAGTTCCTAGAGAGCTTGAATGGTTGAATCAAGATGTTTATATATGTTTTTTAAGGCTTTGAATCTTTATCGCCAAAATGCTTCATAGAAATTTGTACCATTTGGCATTCCCACTAGCACTATGAGAATCTTTATTTTATTGGACCTTGTATTTATAATTTTGTCTTTTTAATTTTTTTATTTCTTTAATTGCTAGTGAATGTATACTTTTAAAATGTCCTCATTGGTGATTTTTAGTTTTTGTTTTGTGAATTGTTTATTAATGTCCTCTGCTCATTTCCTTAAATAATAAATAGACTATTTTTGTTTATCTGTCAAAAAGCTATTGTAAAAATGTGTTGGATTTTCACCTAACCATTTCCTGATTTGGATTTCAGGAACTATTTTTGAGTGACCCTCTACCTCCAATATACTTACTTTCTCACTGGTGTGAGACTTGTATCACATGCATCTCTCTTTTCTTCTCTTTAATTCAATCACTGCATCTCCCTCTTCATCCCATTTTTGACCTGATTATAATTAATACTTCATTCTTTTCTACTAAGTGGGCAAAGTAGATAAATTGAGGGTGGGAATAAGGCAAGAATAAGTGTTTTCTTAGAATTCTAAGCATTTGAAGCAGCTTGATGTGAATAATAGTGATTCATCAGTACTGTTAAATAAGTGAAAGAATGAACCTATTAAAATATCATTGATTATTTCTTTCGTCCTTTAGTTCTTTGCAATATGGATACTGCTAGACTAAATTTGGTTTAAAGAAAAGTGCTTTTCATTTTTTTAAGATGATGAATGAATATACCCAAATCAATAACAACCTTAGAATGATTTTTTTCTTCTTTTAAAGTTATATAAAATTTATTTTTAGTCTAAGAATTATTAAAAGATATTAGAATTCTGAAGGGTATCACCATTTATCACTTAATCCAATATCTTTAAAAGTAGAGTTTTTAATAAATATAGATGGATGTGTGTACACACATGCACAACATTCCCTAACAAATATGTAGAATTTACATCGTGCATTGTATTAAACAGGTGGTTCATATAAAAATGGTAACACCTAGAGGTATAATAGAAAAAAGCTGTCAAGGACCTCGTATGTCAACAGGCCCTGATATCCATCACTTCATCATGGGATCTGAAGGTAAATATAACAAAATTTATTACAAAGAAATACAGGTTAGTGACTCAGTTTTCTGAAAATCTGTTTTTTTTTTATATAAGATCTTTGAAAGAAAGACTTGTTTTATATATTTAAAGAATGGTGATTTTTTTTTAAGTTTTATTATTTTAATTTAGTACTTCATAAAGTTTTTATTATGAGAACATCTTATTAAACATCCCTTTTATGTTTTGGTTTTTATAGTTTTAGAGATAAGTTAGCCTTTTGGTATTTTATTTTTGTTTTAGAGTTTTTAATCAATGATTTTAGGAAGAGTAGTTGTTAAGATTTAAAATGGTTTGCTTTAAAATTTTATAGTATTCTCTATTCTTGTCTGACTTCTCAGGGGGAAAGGGCTGAGAAAGTATTGTCTTAGTGTCTTGTCTTTCTATAATTGTACCTTTTGTTACTTGCTATTTGATTCTTTGAAGAAGTGGAATTTAAAATCCTGTTGATTTACATGTCTTTTAAAACATGTTGGACTTTTTTTTTTTTTTTTTTACTATTTACTATTCTTTGCTTGGTTACTTAATGCTGGAAAAAAATAGAATATAGTTCTTTATCTCATATAAAACATTTAATTGCTGTACTGATCAGGAAAAAAACTGACCTTCTATTTTGCAAACTAACTTTTATGTGGTGAATTTTATGGATAAGATGAACATAGTAGTGTTTGTCAATTCTTAGAATGGTAGAGAGGGTTATCCCTTAAATCCAGAGAAATAAGATAAAATAAGTGTCTCTAAATTAGTGGAGGAACTCATTACTAGTTTAGAAGATGGTACAAGCTAAAAAAGAGATAGATTTTCAAAACATTTAGCTGAGCAATTACAATAAACTAGGATGATAGGACATAAATTCTATCTTTTGATGGTAACATCAGGGAGGGAAAAAATAACAAACTATGTCTCAGTGACAGGCTAGAGGTCAACTATTGATTTGATGACCAATGATATAGCTTAGGTATTTTTTCATGATAATCAATGATAAACCTTTGTCATACCAGTTTACCCTCTTACTCCTTTTCTGATCAGTATACTCTTCTATGGAAAAATAGAACTACATTTTTAATGAGAAAAAAATGTTAAATTCTCTTAAAATAATATTGTTCTTTGGTAAATATTCTGCAACTTCTTATACTAACACATCATCCAAAAGTTAACTAAAATATATAACCTTTTGCCACCAGGTGTCAAATTGAGTAACAAATAGGTATTAAAACTGATAGTCATTAATTATACTATTACTATTGGCGCATACATAGTTGGAGTCAACTGTAAATATAAATGATCTTTTTAAGTAACCATATCAGACATTTTTTTCTCCCATTGCTTAGTATTTTAAAATTTTTGGTGCCAGGTACTGTGCTGGCACAATGAAGGACACAGGTAACAATTGACCCTTATAATACAGTACAATAAATTATATGATAGAAGTAAATGCAGGAGAAATATAGACAAAGTTCACATTGATGGGTGCTTAAGAAGGCCTCTTCAGAGGGGTCATGCCTAAAGTGGTCCTTGAAGGTTGATAAGGAGTTGAGGGAATAAGGTGGGGAGGGAGTTGCCCTGCAGAGAGAACTGCAGGTGGGCAGACTTAGAAGTGAGAAGAGCCACGTCTGCCTGGTGAAGCGGCCAGGTTTCCAGTGTAACTGGAACATAAGATTTACCTGTAGGGTGGAGTAGGCAGCAGGTCTAGGAGTAGAGTGGTAAGGGTTACAGGGTAACTGGAGAGATAATTTGGTCTTTTATGCCTTTTAAAATAGTTTCAACTGTATCTAAATGACTAGACTACCTCCCTCAATAGTAAATTATTCTCTGAATTTAAGGAAGGTAAACTCATAATAATAAAGTAAGCAAAGAAATACGATTTGTTAAATGTATATACTAGGGCAAATAACTGTATTTAAATGAGCTCTTACTATAAACATACATGTAAAATGCCATAGTGATTTAGGAGCATGAATGATGAAATCTTTCAGATCTGGATTTCAGTCCTGGTTCCACCACTTAAATTTCTGTGACTTTGTATAAATTAGGGGTAATTCTCTATGCCAGTGTCCTCAGCTATAAAATGGGGATAATAAAAAAAATCCATCTTCATAAGCTTTTGTGAGGATTAAATGAGATTATGATAAGCAGTCTATAAGCATTTAGTTAAGTATTCAACAAATGTTAAATTTATTACTGTTGTTGCTGTTTATTATTTTGACATCAGTGATCTTTACAAGTGTATTTATAGTCCTTAATCTCCATCTCTTTATGTGGATATAGAGTCATCTTAATGTAGGCCAGGAGACAGCATGATTGATTTTTTTAATTTATGTGAAATCATACTCTTTTTTATTTTATTTTTTACCTTTGAATTTTATTTTTTTATTAAGCTTTTTATTTAAATTCTAGTTAGCATACATTATAATATTAGTTTCAGGAGTACAATATAGTGATTCAACACTTCTGTATATCACCTGGTACTCATCACAACAAGTTCGTATTCTTTTATAATATGTATTTTTATCTGCTATCTTGAGCCTTCAGTTTTTATATTTTTTTATTGTTGTTGCTGCTGTTCTTTTTCTTTCCTGAATAATATTTTTCTAAATAATAACCTCCTGCCTTCAGTGTGAATCATAAACTTTTCCTCAAGTTTTAAAAATACTTTTTTGCTATAGTTAAATCATCTGATGATAACCTTAAAAGGATTATCATTAAAAAAATGTATTTTCCTGATCCTCCTAAGTTCTTTTTTTTTCTAACCATGTTAAATTTAATGTTTTTGTCTTGTTTTGAGTTTTTCATAATGATTTTTTTTCAATTAGCTTCCTTCCATTTTAGATGCTATAACATCAATATAATGAAAATTATAATAAATAGTTAAAGCCTCTGAAATGCTTTGCATTCTTTTCTTATGTATGGAATTTACTAGTAACTCAAAAGAATTTGCTCTTTTATTTGAAAAATGGTTAAAAGCTACATTTTTATTTTTTTTAACCCATGACCCACCCTTGTTTTCGCCTTTGCTCTATGTTGAAATAAGTGAAATGCTTATTATCAGTCCTTTGTGTAATTTTACCTTTTGTATGACCTTGACACTTGCAGGACAGCTTGAGTAGTTATAATATCCATGGGTTGCCCTTTGCTTCCTTGTTTCTTGAAACTACTGCCCCAGTGTTGCCCGGTTTTATATGTTGTTTTAAAGAAATCTAATGCTAGTTCTTTTGCCTTTATAGCTTGTTTCCCTTTTTTACCTGGGTGTCCTGAGTTTTTTTTTCTTTATTATTGAAGTCTACGACTTTTATAACTTAGAGTTGACTGTCCTAGGTTGTTTTACGGGGCGCCCAGTGGACCCTTTCTATGTTTATATTTACGTCTTTTATTCTTTCTGGAAAGTTTTTTTTGTATCTAGTGTTAAATATTAGGGGTTTCCCCCCATTGTTTAGATTTTTCTTCTTCAGGGACACCAATTATACTATGTCTGACTATGTTTGCTTGTTTGGCCTTTCAACCACTATTTCTCTGACCCTTTTATTCCCCAACTTTTTTCTTTATTTCATTTTCATTCTCTTGGTTATTTTCCTGCTTTTCTTCAGTGCCCTTTATTGAGTCTTCATTTGAATCTATTCTCTGTTCTCCTTGGATACCTTATAACTTAGCCTTCAGTTTTTATATATATATTTTTTTATTGTTGTTGCTGCTGTTCTTTTCCTTTCCTGAAATTAGTCATCTCTTATTTCATTTCTTCTTGTTTTTTGTCCACTTTTAATGTTTGTATTTCTGACTCAGGTATTTTTTTTAATATTCCCAAATGCTTGCTTGACAGTATTTAATTCAGTTTGAGATGTTTATTACTGTTTTTTTTTTTTTCCAGCATATTGGTTGGTTTAGGGGAGAGACTTCATCAGCAGAAAAGCTTTTATTTATATTTTGTCTTTTTCCAGTAGTTTTTGTGGATTTGGTCTGCTTTTTTCTATTGCTCTTTATTACTTAGAAAGTGTTTCGTAGTTTGGGAATGTCCTTTTCTGTCACTCCTACCCTCTCTTGTGCTACTTGTTTTGTGGATGGTGGTATTTTTGGTGGGAGAAGGCTTGGCATGTCTTCTTTCTCTCTTATTTCTATAGGATCTTTAATTTCCCTCTCTTACTTCATTCTTTCCCATCATTACTTTGTCTCCAAGGAGTGCCACACTTCTCTGAATATGATGCTCCCCTGAAAATACTCCCCTTGCTTCTCCAAGGCTGCCATTTCTAGTTCTTCCCATTTTCAAACCCCTCCCCATAGCCAGGGCTATGGATTTCCCTGTACAGGATTTTGGTATTATTGTTGTACTTTTGCTGTCTGTGGTTGATTTTATCTTTGCTTCCTCCAGGTCCTCTGATACTCTGTATTTTTTCATATAAAATCTTTTAAGCCTCCCCTTACTTACTACCCTTACAAGCTAGCAGCAGGTAGAAGGTGTAGTAGGTCTTTTGGCATTTGTTTTCTCTCTGTTTAACAGGTAATGTGAAGTTCAGAGTGTTTTTTTGTCTCCTAGTAATATTGAAAGTTTTGTTTCATTATTATATGTGGTTTTCTGTTTCTTGTTGATTTTTATGTTTTGGGGGGAAAATAGAGAGGGGAGAAGATTCAGAGTCAAATGACTGCCATTCTTCTTAGTCCCGAAGTCACCTGAAAGTATATTGTCAAATTACAAAAGAGTTTATTTACTTTAAGCAAATACTTGCATTTTATATCAAATAGCACTTGAAGCTTTTAGTTTTCTTGAGAACAAATATTATATTTGAAAATTATAAAATAGAAAATTCTTAAACTTATTGTAATGTGGTTTTGATAAAACAGAAAAGTGAATGATGTATAAGCCTCTGTGATGTCATATTGCCATGGAGTTATTTATAAGCAATTATATAAAGTAGATATAAAATATAAAAGTGTATAAAGTGGTACAATATACATATAATCAAGTGATAAGTAATCCAAGTCTTTTCTGTCACTCCACTGACATAATATTCTCAGAGCAAAAGAATCAATACATATAATAACACAACAGAAACAAGCCTTTTGATTAAATGACTTTAGATATATCCATTTGTGATGGGCTAAGTTGAATGTAAGTCTGGATGGAAGCTGCTCTCTGAGACCTGGATGATTTTGCTTTCACAGTGGGACCCCCTGTAGACTCATAGCTGGATAGTTGCAGAGACTTGCCTTGGGCATTTCATTAGCCTTGCAATAATGCAAAGTCTCATTTTACTAATTTTTATTTATTTATTTTTTTACCTCACTTTCAATGTTATGGTGGGTTTTACTACTTTTGGGTGCTTACTCTACAGGGGAAGCAATACAGGTAGGTAGAAGTTTAAGTCATGGTCACTTTTCACTGGTACCTTGGAATTTTGATGTAGAATTAGAATTTTAAAAAGTTTGCTAATGTAAAGGGATATATGTTTTAAAATCAACTTTTTGAATAAGTAATTACATATACAAAATTAAAATATGGACAAATGTATAAAATTCAAAAGGTACTAAAGGATGTATAAGGGAAAATCTGCCCTTCTATCCCTTTTTCTGAGCATTTCCTTTGTTCAGAGTAAACACTTACTGCTATATTTAAGTATATATGTATGCAGTCTTTCTGCTTTACACTTCCTTTTATAAAGCTTACTTCATATCATTACATTTAGAGCCACTTCATTCTTTTTGACAGCTACTGAATGTACGCTAACCAGACCCTCAATGATTGGCATTTAAATGGTTTCCAGCTTTTTCCTGGATTATATTTAAGTTGTATTAGAAGATATTACATGCTATAATTCAAAGAAGTATTTTCGGATGGCTCCATTTCTCAGATATTAAGGAAGGATTTCACAAAAACCTGGGAACTTGGAGTTTAGTTTTAAGTAGAAAAGTGTTCCTGTCTGCAATCATGGCTTATACTGACCTTTTCCTTAATGGATTTCAATCTGGTGACTTTGAGTTTCAGCAAGTATTTATTAAAGTGTTCGATAATCTGTGGTTAGATTACATAGAGAAGATGATTCCTGTGTTTCAGAGTATATGCCTGTCAAATTTCAATTCATTTGTAGAAACAACTTTTAACATGAGGTATTAATTCCAAGGCTACGAGGAGCTTCTAAAAACGTTGAGAAGAGTTGAAAGAATTACAAACAAGCTTAGTGATGGTGTCAGTATGTGGTAGAGAAATAAAAATTAAATTGATACGTCTTGGTATGAACGAACAAGTGTGATAGATAATTCTGTATTGGTGGATGAGGAGACACCATAGTACTAGTTTACCTGTCAGCCTTTTACCTCTTCTCTGGCAAAGGTTTAGAAGTTCTTTTAGACTCCTTTTATAGTCTAAGATGTTTATTTCTAAAAATTTTCCTATTTGTAAAATGTATAACTGTTAGCTCCTTATTTAAGAAAATAACTCTGAAGTTTCATTTGTAATTCATTTAGAGAATTAATTAACATGGTTATTTTTAATAGATTTATTGAAATATAATTCACATACCATAAAATTCACCCATTTTGTGTATCTCTTAGAAGGGATGGTTCCTGAGGTTAGTGTTTGGGATTCTTCTCTGACCATAGTTGGGGTCCTCCACACTGTATACAAGCAAACTAGCTGGCATACAATGTTGCCTTTATCTCCAATAAACTTACCTATGTCCTCCCAATTACCTTTTACATCCTCCACTGTTTTCAGAGTGTTCTTAGGCTTGAACTTCTCCATACTCTGTTTGTTGCAAACAAAGTAATTTTCTTTGGAAAGAGATCAGGAGCTGTTTTTTGCCTTGTGTTCCCTTTCCCCCTCCCTCCTCAGCCCCTTGAGAACAAGTCTCTGAGCCTCTGAGTCTCTGAGCCTCTGAGTCTCTCTGAGCATGGCTCTGGAGGAGCCATGGAGGAACGGGAGCAATGGCATGCTTTTCTCTGAGGACATCCCTACTTTAGTAGCTCCATGCTAGGGAAAAGAGGGAAGGAAAACAGATCTTCTTGGTTTGCTTCTCCTGGCAAGATGCCATCTCTTTACAAGCCAGGCTAAGGGCAGTTGGGTCACCAGTATTAGTGTGTCATTCCAAGTAGAGCCTCTGTCCCACCAGCTAAGGCTGGGTACAAGAAATGAACTAACCTCCTCCCCATTACCCCCCCTTGGCGGTACTTGCCCGGAATGTAGCCTTAGGAAAAGGTAGCTGAGGGCAGGGTTATGTGGAATAGGACCAGAGGTTTTAAAAAAATTAAAAAAGTCTTCATGTATGTATTCCAGAAAAAGGAAAACATACATCCACACAAAAATATGTATGTAAATTTATATGTATATTCATGATAGCATTATTCATATGAAGTAGCCAAAAGGTGGAAACCTATGGAACTTTCAGCTCTAGGGAGGGGAGGGGGACTAGACATTGAATTAGTGGTTTAATCAATCATGCCTATGTAATGAAGTCTCCATAAAAATCACGAAAATGCGGTTCCAGGGAGCTTCCAGGGTGGTGAACACATGGAGGTGCTGGCTAGGAGGGCATGGAAACTCTGAGCCCCTTCCCCCATACTTTGTCCTATGCATCTCTTTTTAAAAAAACTTGGCTTTGCCTGAGTAGTATCATGTTTTATATTAAACTGGTAATCTAGTTTAAAAAAATGTGGTAACCCAAATGTCCATCAGCTAATGAGTGGTTGAACAAAATTAGTTATACATACAATGGAATAATAGTCCACAATTAAAAAGGAATGAAGTACTAATATGTGCTATAACAGGGATAACCCTTGAAAACATAGAAGCCAGTCACAAAGGACCACATATTGTAAAATTCCATTTACATGAAATGTCCAGAATAGGCAAATTTATAGAGATATTACTAGATTAGTGGTTGTCTAGGGCTGAAGTGTATGTGTGGGGAAACAGGGAATGGCTGTTTCACGGGTACAGGGTTTCTTTTTGTGGGTGATAAAAATGTTCTAGACTTAGATTTTTTTTTAAGATTTTATTTATTTGAGAGAGAGAGAGAGAGAGCAGGGGAATGGGGGAGGAGCAGAGGGAGACAGAGAAGCAGACTCCACACCGGGCATAGAGCCCAGTGTGGGGCTTGATGCCATGACCCTGAGATCATGACCTGAGCTGAAATCAAGAGTCAGTCACTTAACTGAATGAGCCACCCAGGCGCCCCCTAAACTTAGATTTTAATGATAGTTGCATATATTTGTGAATATACTGAAAATATATTGAGTTCTACACTTTAAATGGGTGAATTTTATGGTTTGTGAATTATATCTCAATAAAGATACTAAAATAAAAGATAAAGCCTTAGTCATTTTTGTGATCCTTTAAAATTTACAAGGTATATTTACTTTTTATTTAAATACTAATCAGGCCAGACTTGCAGAGTTTTTGTGATTTTACAAATTATAATATGGTCATATTTGATATCTCAGTAGGCAATCATTTGTATATGTGATGAACATACTGTGATCTAATGTAATTTACTTGTTAATGGACTCTTAGTTTTTAATCTTATATTCTGTATTGACATTTTGGGTGTATTATAAATTTACTGGAAACTTTGGTTTTTGTGGTACTTTTTATTTATTTCTAGTGTTATCATTAAGTTCTCCAATTCAGAGATTTCCCTCTTTATTCTTTTTTTTCATGATTCTCAGAAAATTTACTAATAGTGTTAATAATTTCTACCATTTGTACATCAGAAACCACTAATTCAAAAAGCTTGGCTTCGTGAATATAATCATTATAACCATGTCTCTTCAGATATTTTAGCATAGTTATTTAGATCTCATAGAATGTAGTTTATATTTAACTTTCTTTTTTCCTATTTGATTTGTCTGTCCTCCATGTAATAAAGGAAAGAGCATTTATTTCATTGGTTTTTTTTTTGTACTAGATATTTATGGTAACTGCTCTGTCTCTGAAATACCTGGTTTGGGTTTTTTTTGTGTGTCTTACAAGGGCATCTTAGTATTGCCATTGTCATTGTATGAATTCCTAGGAAAAAGGCAAGGTAGTAATAGTCCCTCTAATTTCTTCTATCATTTTAAATTCTCATAGAACTTTCTTTTTGCCCCAGCAAATTTTTCTCACAGTAAAAATAGGCACAATTTTTTTAATATACTTTTGTCTGAATGTTTGAGATATATAAACCTGTTGTTTTTCAAAAATTTTTTTCTTTTAATAGGTTGTAATACTTTTAAAACTATTTAAAAGTAACCGTCTTGGAGGAAGGTTTTTTTTTTTATGTTTTAAAAATATTTATGCATAACATAAGAAAAATGTATTCCCAAACCTTTTTTTTTTAGAAAGTATAAAATTTGTTTAGTTGTTTTTCTAAAAAAACTTGAGTAGCCATTATTCCCCACATAGAATAAATAGATTTAAATATGAATAGAATACATTAATAGAATAAATAGATAAAATAGATTTAAATATGATTTAGAAAATTGGCATGTGATATATTGGATTATTCCCCCTTCTTTTTCAGGAACTCTTGGTGTGATAACAGAAGCTACAATAAAAATCAGACCAATCCCTGAATACCAAAAGTATGGCTCAGTAGCTTTCCCTAATTTTGAACAAGGAGTAGCCTGTTTAAGAGAAATTGCAAAACAGGTAAAAAGAAAACAACAACAACAAAAACCCACCCATCTATATTTATATTTTTAAAAATTCTGCGTAATTGATTTTGATATGTCACATATAATCTTCATATTTAGTTGTGTTATATATGTGGTTTTACCCAGTTTTATATGAAAAGGTAATGTAAAATCATCCCTGTAAGTGCAGTTGCTATTTCTTTATTTTTTGGTTTAAAGAGTGCTGTGTGATTTTAAGCCAAGGTAAGATATGTACTTGGGTTGATGGCTTTGAATGACTCTGCCTTTAATGAATGTTATGTTTTCTTAAATTATTTTTAGATAAGACATTTTGTGATTAATTTGAAGTAATATATAATTTTTCTTAAACTAAGACAGTTATTGAAATTAAAATAAATGGCTGAATGTCAATTATCCAAAAATACAGAAATTAAGTATAGGTAATCAAACTCTCTCAATTCTCAGAATGTGCTACTACTAGGCCCTACTTTGTTTTATAATATTACCGAAGCTATAGTTTAAATTAAATAACATAATACAGCATAATATAACATAATATATTTAGCTATAAGTTAAGAAGAATTCCCATTTTCTTCCCTTCTTGAAAAAAAGATATATTATCAAGGATTTTTAAGAGACCAGATAATGCCACGTAATTTTATTGCTATGTTCTATGTATCATTGTAGGAATTCTTGCATTTCTTTAGGCATTTGGTTCATTGGTTGAACTACAATGGTTTTTAGAAAAATTTTATTGCAACATTTCCCAGCAGGGAGGAAATTAAGGGAATATACTCCAGCCTGTTTCTTCTTGCTTTCTCCAAACTCCTAGAGTTCTTTAGTACTTCCCATCAGCTATATGTAACTAGAATCTTGAGGGCAAGGGAGCTTTCTGATGTGACCCATATAGGTCGGCTTCCAGGTATCAAGAGCAGGGTGAAGGGAGGATCTGATGAGGCAAAGGAATGATATCCAACAAATACTGCGTATTCATTGTAGACTTTGTAAGGTATTGAAATGGAAAGTGGTCAAGAGTCTTATCTTCTCAGAGAGAGAGAGAGAGCACCCTAAATGTTGTTTTTTTTTTTAAGATTTTATTTATTTATTTGAGAGAGAGAGAGAGCATGAGAGGGAAGAGGGTCAGTGGGAGAAGCAGACTCCCTGCCGAGCAGGGAGCCCGATGCGGGACTCGATCCCGGGACTCCAGGATCATGACCTGAGCCGAAGGCAGTCGCTTAACCAACTGAGCCACCCAGGCGCCCCCCCACCCTAAATGTTTTAAAGAAATTTAAAATAAGCAGAAATATGTTACATTTACTCACATATTTACCATTTCCAATGTTCTTGAGTTCATATACTTTTGCTTTCTGAGACAGTCATTTTTTCCCGTTCTCAGCAACTGCACTCCCAGTTTTCCATTTGCAGGAAGTTCAGTTATATGGTCACCTAATCTCACAGTTGACAAAGGTAATTTTTATAATTTCCAAGTAACTTCAGTTACTTATCAGTTAGATTGCTTCCTTCATCAAGACTTAGCCATAGGCCCCTTAATCTTGATTGTCTTACTGCTGGGAGGGGGAAGAGTTTAAATAAAGAAGTATAGTCCCGGAATGAACATTCTTGAACTTGTGGCAGGTTACTTTGGTAGTGTTGAAGCAAAAGCGAATGTTAGTAGTTGAAATTTATACAAGAAGAGCCCCTAATTCCTAGAATTTGGGGATATTACGTTATGATTAGGGAGCTAGAATATGCAGTGAGTATTATGCTATGTATGCTAAAATAATGAGAGGGTATAATCTTTAAATACTATTTTAAAATGTAAATATCTCAACACATATATTATTAAATATTGTTAATATATATTAAGCATAATTCATGTAATATTAAATATTTATAATATTTAAAAGCGGGACTGTTGAATAAAGGAGTGGAAATAAGTTTTAGGAATAAATATTTGTTATTCTAACATAATATCTGAGCACTGAGCAGTAAAGTTCAAGTGTGTTTTAATATTGTTGCGAAAACCTTCCACACTTAGAGGCAAAGGAAAGTAATTTCAAATTTAAGATAGCCCAGGTGTTAAAGAATAAAAGAACTATTTGCAAAGCCTCATGGTTTTGCCTGTGAGTTAGTTAAAACCTAGGAGAATGGAAAGCTAGGTTTTGGTGTTCTTTATTTTGTTTACAAAATAACTAAGTTCGCCAATTAAAAATCAGAACAGACCATTTTCCATAATTAAATTATATTTTCTTACCAATTTCAATCTTAATGACTTTTTTATTAAGATGTTTTCACTTTGTATTATAATTTATTCTTTGTGTTAATTACTTTTATTTGCTTTCTGTCTGTCAAGCTTGATTATTTCCCTCCCAAAAAAGCTTTATAATAAAAGATATAGTTCATATTATTTCTCTTGTTCAAGTTTTGAATGACATCTTTTTAATTGGCCCTTGTCTCCATTTTTTATGGCAAAATAAGAAGGAATGCCAAATTAGATTTTTTTAAAAAAATCATAGAATTTATAAAACTATCTGGTTTGTATATATTTTTAATAAATGATCTCATTGAGGGCGTTCAGTCTATGTTGGCTAAATATTCCCCTTCACAAGATCACCATTCTAGAACACAGATTTAGTAGACTTGTTAAAAAGTGTTGTTATGTGATCTTTGAAGTAGTGGTAGACATATTTTGTGCTCTCCTGCTTTTCCATATTGCAAATATGTAAATATATCTTAGGTTTCATTAATGAGAAATGTACAAATACATCAGAATCCTAAATTTATAATTTTATTAAGATGGAAATGTTGGATTTAAACATAGTTGCTATAATCTGATGTGGTTTTTGGTACAATTTAATATGCCCCTGGTAGAAAGTAACAGAGAAGAAGTACTTGTGCTAATGAAAAGCAGAGGGTGAAATTTTCCTTCATCCTTGCATAAGTCAGTAAAAATTGCCCTTTTGTTTTAAAAAATTCTTTGGATATTCACCATTGACCATAATCTAAATTGACTACACAAAACTGTATTGGGTATATGGTTTGGAATAAACAAAGGTGGTGGTTGATAAAGTGCCACCCTGTGGTTAAAGACTTCAAAAGAAAGCTCCTTTCTAATCTATAATTTTAATAATTTGGTTCTGTGTACTTAGTAATAGACAGTTTTTAAAGACATATATACCATGCAACTAGAAAGCTTGCCTTGCTTGAAACTGATTAAAAAGCTTAGATAGGTAATATTTTATTCTCAAATATTGCCTGTATGAATGAAACAGAATAGTTACTGCAATTTGAAGATATTCCACTGTTTGGGGAACATATGTTATTTTACTTCTGCACAGATACATAAGCATTAATGTTTATATTCCCTGGAAATGGGTAAATCCTTGTATTATAATTTAGGGGCATTTACATATCAGTTTATAGAATGTACAAATCTTGTAGGTCAAGAATGGAATTGTGTGTGCTGCCCTGCTTTGTAACAGTATTCTGAGGCAGAAAAATTGAGCAGATGATCAGATTTTGGCACTAGTTGTTCAATTTGCAATTTGGAATTTCAGCTGATAGCAGGAGAATTAAGATCCATTAAAATAGATGGTACATGGTTTATGATTGTGCCAAATTCTTGATTGAATAATGAGTTGGCTGCTTGTAATTTCTCACTGTCATTTCATAGCACTTCCATTTTTGCGGTATTTTCAGACTCAAGTTGCTTTTGAAATGGGAAACTGTATTTTGGATATGTATCTTTTGGAAAGGCGTATACATGCTTGTTTACAAATAGCAAAGTGGGCTCTTTGTATATTTTCATCACTTTTCCTACTGAAGGAAATAAACAACTTTATACTGACAGCAGAAGGATTTTACTAAGGTATCTCATCTAATCTTTGTCCATGTGAGGATTGTCCTCTTTCAATACTTCACTGCCTGGTGAGGAACTAGAAAGGAAGATTTAGTGGAAGATTAATGTGATTCTATCTTATAAATGGCAGTCCAGTATAATCTCCAACTTAACTCAGTAGATGGGTAAGTAAGTGATTTTTAAGACTTTCTGAGCAAACAGATTTCTTACTGTAGCCTCTCAGGAGAGGAGAAAGTGTTTTTTAATCAGAATATCAGTTTCAGGTGTATTTTATTATTCTCTTATTGTTTGTTTAAGGATGACAATGATATCTTTATAAAGTTTTAAGGGAAGAGTGTTGAAATAAGCTCAAAAGCAATTTTTGAAGTCTGGCGTTTCCCGTTCCCAGTAAAAACTTATGAATTCTGCCCTATAGTATTGAGGGAGGACCATTTGTTCCATTAACAGGAAACACTGTATGTGTGTCACAGATCAGTATGCATTCCTCTGAAAACTGTCTTTCTCAGTATTAGAACTAGGTTTTTAGAATTACAAATTAAAAGGCAGCTTTTTCTCTACCTTTTGATAAGGGGTGGCCCATTCTACCTACCATCACTTTTATTTTAAGCAATTTTAAACTGGTACGGTGTTATTTTCTAGAGCGTTTAGACCATAATTTGGAAAGAAGTACATAGTTCATGTTTGACACTGTTAGACTGTTCTATCTCAATTCTGAATTGTTCTGTCTTAAATTTGGTTTATCCTGGATGGGTTGAAATAAAGTAAAAGGAGCTAGGTTTAGCACTTACATTATAAAGTAATTAAAACTTCTTTATATTAGTGGTAATTCTTGGAAATAATTTGTTACATGTAGAAAATGGCATTGTTATTTTAAATGAGTGTGTGTGTGTGTGTGTGTGTGTATGCGTGCGCCTGCTTGTGTGTTCTTTCCTCCCTCTGAAGCAGAGAAAATAACCTCGCCAAATGTTTGATTAATTGGATTCTGTACTCTGTGATCCAGCAAAATGTATTAAACTTGAGGACAGTTACAAGACATAATTTCAACCAGGAGCTACTCAGAACAAGTCATTACACCTTTACAAAAATGAAAAATGAAAATGATGAACCAGAGACAGTTTGGCATTAACTTTTGGCTCTTCCCTTAATATAAACGGAGG